CTCGGAATCTTCATACTCCGGATCGAAAATCTTTCTGACACCCTTGTGGATTTCAACTTTGTCAACTGCGTCGTTCGGAAAACCCGCGATGACTTTAGTCTTCATTTCCTGTATGCATCTTACAGGAGTCACCTCTAGAAATTCGTCAAACATCATAGTCCAAGGATGATCGAACATGGTAGCACAGATCAACCAAAATTGTACCAAAGGTGTCTCTTGTCGTAAGCGAGGGTTAGAATCGTCACGACAGAAGTACAAGTCATCCTGTTGAATTGTCGAATCACCCAAAAGACCAATATCGAAAAAGGAGAAAGGAATTTGTTGGGCGACCTGTAGAGCAATCGCTCTCACTCCCCAGATATATTCCGTGTTCTTGTCGTCATCCTCAAAAATCGAAATCAAAAAGGCCAACACGCGTTGCCAGTCGTTATCGTATTCGTCGAAGATCATATTAACCCGGACTTCGACCGAGAACTTAGCATAGAAGTCCTGGAAAGGGCTATCGAACCTGGGAAGGGCTTGAGACCATCGGGCGTTGTGGTCGTCGATCCATTTCGTAAAAACGTGATTTCCAAACTCTATCTGAGTAGAGTTCTTGTCATTGCCGATAGCGACTAAATCTTGAGTTGAGAGCCCGAAGTCAATCAGTGGGCGCAATGTGTCGATCACTTCTTGGGTTCCGGAATCGTTGGAGATCTTGGGATCTCTATCTTTAGGTTGACGTAAATCAACAGAGGATGCATTTTCCAATTGTTTCTTTCCGCTCTTTTTGGAGGTAGAACCCGACTTAGATTTTGATCCGCCTGCTTTCTTAGCAGCCGTTGAGACAACCTTCAAAGATGTATACTTTCCCATTGTAAAACAATGAAATGCCGTTGAATTGATAAAACTGCTGCAATTTCTACGTAGACTCTAGTACTTAGGCTACGAATACCGTTTGCAAAGTTCCGATTGGTTCGGTGCTTTTCGTTTTCCGTTTTTCTTTTTCTATGCTTCACACGAAGCAATCACCACTACTTGTGTTATTGATGCACACGAAGGTAGAGATATAATGACGCTGGACGTGCCTAACGCTTTCATTCAAACTTATATGCCTGAAGCTAAGGAGGGAGAAGATCGTATCTACA